GGCTCCGAGGGCCCCGGTCCCAGGGTACTGTGATCGGGAGACGCCTGCTCGTCTCTGAGAGGGGCCCGCCCCGTCGGAAAGCTCCCCGGTCTCCTGGCTCCAGGGCAGGGTCTTGGCAGGCACCTTCTCGCCTCCCAGGGGAGGGGAGAGCATATGCCGCCCAGGCTGACGGCCCGCCCTCCCCCATCATCCTCCTCTTCCTTCTCCCTGGACGGGGCGCAGGTGGGGGGAGGGCAGGGGGAGAGTGGTAGTTGAGGGATCCAGGCTGTTTCAGCTGGATGGGATCTGCCCCCAGGGGTCGGCAGCTGTCTTCAGCATCTGTGACACTGGCCGCCTCTCTTTTCTTCAGTTTGGGCCCTCCAGTTCCTAGTGAGGGCAGGGGAAGAATCCCACCCACTGAGCATCCCACAAAGGCTCAGGAAGGCTCTGGGGAGGCGCCCTCTCTGCCAGACTTCTCCTGGAAGCAATGCTTCTCTTCCTCACACCCCCAACTTCATTAAGGATTCCAGGAACCCTTGCCTGTTGCAGCGGGAGGCAGGCCCCATCATCCCTATGCTGGCCAGGAGCAGAGAGACGGCCCTCGACCATGGCGGGGGTGAAAGACACAGGCAATGTGGACAGGATTTCTTTAAGGACCAAGGACGGCTTCTTAAGAGGAAACCATCCAACAACAGTGCAACCAACATCCATTCGTAATTCTTTGAAAATGTGCGTTCTCGGTATATTTTTACCGTAACGATTCATATTCGCAGACGCTGGTGAAAGAGTTCATTTTGTACATTTAGAATCATTCTCCATTCACTTTTCTCCCTACTCAAATTTTTAAAAAAGCATGAGCCTGGCCATGGATTCTAATTAGTACCTGGTGATTTGTTCCAGGGTAACCTCGTGAAACACTGAGTGAAAAGGGAGGGGGGCTCCTGGAAATTTTAGCCCAGCACCCTGTGAGGTGGGGCACTGCAGTGAGAGGCAGGGTGCCCTCTGCCGTTTGTCCTGGGAATTTCTGCTCAGTTGCAAGAGGTCTGGCTGATAAATATACACTGTCACCCTGAATCGGCTAGCGAAGCCAGTTTCCAAAAATGCTGCAGAATTCTCTCATTTGTATCAAAGAGATAAATATCCCCAGGGCAGAGTGTGCAAAGCTTGTCCCAAGCAGCGATTCAAGTAAATCACGGTGGGAAACGTTTCTGCCCAAAGGAAGCGGGGACCATTCACAGGGAAAGGATGATAAACTACGGAACTGAGTTTCAGGAGTCACCTGCTCCGCTTAAAGCTGCAAGTCTAAAACGGGCACTTCCTGATCGTGGCCGAATGACTCAGTTTCACCATGACTCAGCCCAGCTCCCGGTTGCCCAGGGGGTGGAGAGGGAACAGCAGATGCTGTGCAGTCGGGATGCAGAGCCCCCAGAACGGGCGCAGCTATTTCTGGAGGGTAAATGGGGACGGGGGAGCTCATGCAGGCGCCTGCTCAGGAAGTGCAAGTAGGGCGTTAATGAGAGGAAACACTCCCCACTCAGAGGCTGGGGATGGTTCAGAGCCTCCAGAACCAACCTCTCTAGGCACCGCCACACAAGGGAAGAGGCGCCCTCCTGCAGGTGATGCAGGGAAGACGCAGGCTGCCAGCAAACCCAGGAGAGCCCTGCGTTGGGGTGACCCGTCCCCCTGCGCACAGGAGCTGGTCCCCTGCAGGGAAGCAGGTCTCTCCAGCGTTCGCCAGCTGCTAAAGCAAACTTATCTCCAGACTGTGCTAGGAAATTTTTTCCCTGTCCCAGGGCTGCATTTTCAACATGGGGAACAAACGTTAAGCTTTAAACAAATCAGTTACAAACAAATGTGAGATAGATGCCCTGAGTGCCAGGGAAACTGTGACCTTGAGATGGGTGGCCCAGAGGCTGCGGGTGGGTGTGGGGAACTCGGGTGGCTGCCCCTCTCCATCCCACCTCGCCAGGGCCGGCGTAGAGGTGTAAGGGCAGCCCAGAGGAAAAGGTCCTGGAGTCAGCATCACCCCACGACCTGCTCTGGGAAGGGCTGGCTGGGAGGAGGGCGACCTGGCGGGTAATGCCGAGGCTGTAAATGGAACTAAGGCTGTTTCTGTATCATTTCAAAGCGGGGAGAGGCCTTCGCTAGTGGCAGGAGGAGAAAGCTCTTTCAAGCAGCATCGTGAACAGTGGGGCATAGACAGGAAAATTCATTTTCAGAAAAAATAGGCTGGTGAAATATTTCTCTCCATGTCTTAAAGGGAACAGTCTCACGTCTCTGGTGCGATCGGGGTGTGGTTTGGAAGTGGGAGAGCAGACTTGAAACCTTGAAGATCACTGCAAACTTGGTCTCCTTCAGAGCCCTAATTATCACGTATTTCCTGTGTATACATCTTACCTTGTAAGGGGACATGGGTTTCACTACGTCTCCTCCAGAGGGGTCAGAAGAGTCCCTGCAGAAGCAAGGGCATGCCGAGTAAATGCTTATGACCTCAGTGTGCGTCATTTCCTTCTATCAAACCCACAGGGAGACTGAGGGGAATCAGACAAATATAACTAAAATGATGCAAAGGGTAGGGCACTTCTTATGACACAACTTGTAAGCATCTTAAATCTGGAACGTTGAAGAGGAAAACAGCTCTGGAGTAGGATTTTGACAAAATCCCATGTACTCAAAAGTGACCCTGGGGGACACCTTTTAATACTGCAGAGCAATCATCTCAGATCTAATCAAACTAAGTGCTTTTTTTTTTTTTTTTTTTTTTGCAATATACAAATTAAGTTTAGGGAAATTTCTCATGCAAGTCAAAAGGAGGCCGAACACAGATGTATCCTCAGAATGACTGAGAGGAAGGTGTGACAGGAAGATGAGAGAGGGGAAAGGACCCCCCCGCACCCTTCTGAGGAGGGTCTGTGTGCTGACGCCGCCCGCAGCCCGGATGGACGAGTGATTCCCGGGCCCGCCCCTCCTTGTGCACGTTTCTCACTTAATCTCTCTCACTTAATCATCTTCAAGGCAACTCTCATGACCCCCACTTGTAACCCAACCATCAACCCCACCCCTGCCTATCGTAAAACTATAGTTTTCAAATCTATAACCTCATTTGACACACCTGACAAGTGACAGGTTTCTTCCGCAATAATTTTTTTAACAGAAAATTTCTTAAGGGCTTGATATTCATTTTCATTTATCTTGTACCTCACCTGGTATCTGGAAAATGGGAAGCACACAGTATATGAATGACGAAGAGTGGGTGGATGGATGAATGGATGGGTGGATGGATAGATGGAAGGATGGATGAATGGATGGGTGGATGGATGGATGGAAGGATGGATGAAAGGATAGATGGATGGAAGGATGGGTGGATGGATGGATGGATGGAAGGATGGATGGATGGATGGATGGAAGGATGGATGGATGGATGGAAGGATGGATGGATGGATGGATGGATGGAAGGATGGGTGGATGGATGGATGGATGGGTGGATGGATGGAAGGATGGATGAAAGGATAGATGGATGGAAGGATGGGTGGATGGATGGATGGATGGAAGGATGGATGGATGGATGGATGGATGGATGGATGGATGGATGGATGGATGGATGGATGGAAGGATGGATGGATGGATGGATGGATGGAAGGATGGATGGATGGATGGATGGATGGAAGGATGGATGGATGAGGGCTGCCTGGATGGACAGATGGGAGAGAAGGGGGGGAGGGATGAAGGAGAGGACCATATTTTTTTTCTTTGTAGTAAATTACACCCAGTCTGAGACTCTCATCTGGAAGAACTACAAAATAAATATGATCTAAATTTGCAAAGCTTACAAATTTATTAGTGGCTTGTGCAGTAACTTTTCCTTTGATGTTTCTGTGGCAAAACTAGCAACAAATTAATAAAAGCTTAATTTTTATACAAATAGTTTTATTACAAATTTGAATTTTTCAGAAATACACATTTAAAGAAATTACACAAAAGGCCTTAGTAGTCTTAAAAACGTTTTGGAGACTTTTAGTAAAATGTCGTTTCAGGCATAGTGGTCCAATTCTGCTCTCCTGCAATGCATCCGCTCCCCTGCTGAAGTCTGAACACAACTCACGAAAAACCAAGGAAGCCACCTGAATGTGCTTACAGGTAAAAATACTGATATTCTGATTCGACAGAGTTACTTCTCACACCAGGCTGCAGAATGAGGAATATTCATAAAATGAAGGCCTTCTAAGTTTGTTGCTTTTGAAGTCAAGTCATTCAGTTTGTGATTAGTGTTTAAAACCCTGAAGATATTTCATACAGAATAAAAACAAGAAGCTCAAAGTACATGTTTTCCTGTAATAGACACCACATCCGTGAAGCCGGGTTTGGTTTTGGCAACACACAATTTTTGGTTTGGAGGTGAACAATGAAAACTGATGTTTCACATTCAATACCCTAGTGTTTAAAAATCTCTGTTAAAGGACAACACAGGCTTTTAAAGGAAGAAACTATGTAAGCTTTATTTTAACAGTGGAAATGAAACTACAGCTTGACCTGCCTAATTGCTGACATCTATATAAATTACTAAAATATATATATATTTCATTTCTGCCTACTTGGGGGACCATCTTTATTCCACAGGAAATCCGTGACTTAAGCAGCTGCATAGTACCACACAGAGCAGAAAGACCGAAATTTCTCTTTGGTGGGGCGGTCGGAAGACAGGGCTACTAGGCCCCCGTCCTTCCCTTTGGAGGTTCCAACCATCGGCTTAACACGACTATTATTTGTACAGACCGAGGGACCTGAATTTTGAAACAGTTAGACAGTGATATCAACAGACGTTTCACCTGGGGTGTGAAATGGATCTGTTATAATACAAAAATGCAAACGGGCTTCGCCCAGGTTGGAAGGTCCCACAGCCCTCCTAGCACCCTTTGGTTTTCTGATGGGTCTCACTTCACACATCAGTGCACTGGACTGCAGAACAGACATATTTTTTATTTCATCAGAAGTGCCATTTGGGACTTCACTACGGGCAGCTTATCGTGGTCTTGGATTCTCCTTCAGCAAGTAGAGGCCAACGAAGCAGGGTGTGTTAGTTATGCAGATTCCTATCAGGCACCTTACAGTTTTCATACTGGACAGTGAGGTACACAGGATATATTTCTAGAGTTCGTTGCTGTTAGAAGGAGGGAAGAGGGCGGAGTAGCACCATGTTGTGAAGCAGCTGAGGGCCGGCTTCGTTATGTTCTCCGCATGCACACTTGACAGCGACTGACATGCGTGCGCAGCTCTCCAGCCTTCAAGGTGGACGGCGTGGGCTTCCTGAAAGGCAGCACAGGAGTCAGTGTCACCGCGTGGCTCAGGCCAGCTCCTCGGCCCCCTCCCTCCCATCAGAGATCCCCGAGGAACCACCCTTCACCCTGCCTCTGAGCGGGTACCGCGCTGGGGGCTTCCCACGGCCTCGGTAACGCCTGCGAGTTATCATCTGCATCCACCCTCAGGCCAAGAGTAAAAGGAGAGTGAGGGCACGGCCAGAGTCACCCACGTCTGTCTGACCCCAAAGTCCCAGCCACTCCCCACCACAGACCCTGCCTCTTCAAACTATAGGTTAACCTTTTGTTTTCTCTTCTCAACTCGGTTATAAACACCCCCGGACTAGGAAGACGTTCTTCTCTGAGACACTTCACACACATCCTAAGTGCTCATTAAATCATTGCTGAATGACAGAATGAGCAACAAATCTGGAATAATCAACCAGACCTCAAAATACATTCGTAACTTTTGAAAGTTGTTCATGCAGGTGGTCTGATTAGAGGCCAAAGACAGGGGAAGACGTTTAGTGTTCCAAATGCTTCCTTTATCCTAGGAATTCTGTTCTTTGACTATTGGAGAAGTGAAGTCTGAACTAAAATGAGTACTAATCAAACCTTATTCAAATTAAAGTCACCATGTAATAAGAGTACCTTGTCCTAAAATTGAGGTGGCTTACGTTAGCAACTTTGGTGAAAATCCTAGTGTCCCCAAATTATTTAAATTAATGGGATCTTACCTAGTTTTGTTTAAGAAGGCATTTCAGTTAATTGTACCAGGATGCTGGTTCAGAAAAAAAAACCCAAAAAACAAAAAGCCCATTGTTACCTGTTAACCCTGTAATGGGCAGCCCCGGGGGCTGGCGCTCATTTCGGTAGCTAATGGTCAAATTCTATCTGGAGAGTTGACGTCAAGTTCCCACTTGCCTAGAAAGTCTCGTGTGAGCTACTAGAAAGGCACCCGGTAGTTTTTTGAGGCTTAGAAATTTACGAGTAGTGAGCGTGTTGCTTCACCTTTATGATCTAAACTAGAAAGAGACAGGGTCATAGCAGAGGTCCACAGAATTCTCTCCGAAAAGGCTTATCTCCAGGGCCGAGAAGCACTTATTTGGGGGACTGAACAGTAAGTAATTGTTCAGCCCCATCGGCACCCGGCATCCGCTCCAGCAGGGCTACAGCTGGTACTAAGTACCGGACAGAGGCCTCATTATGTGTTCCCGTCCAGTACAGACTGGGCCCCGCTCCAAACTAACTTCAAGGTCAACGGCCACTTGGGACTGTTGTTTTAAAGGTGAAATTTTGGTAATGGAAACAAAAGAAGAGGTTCTCCGTATCCATTTCTGTGGCATTTGTGCTGAAATTAATTTTCATGCGCAGGCCTGAAAAACGGTCACTGATAACTCGCAATATGTACATCCAATTCAGCATTATAAACACCATGAAAATCAAGGCTATTCACTTTCTCTCTCCCTGCTGGTTAAAGGTACAATGCTTTAAAATGCTCTGTTTGCAGATTTTAGTTGTCTTAATGACGTTGCCGTGGATTCATCTTGAAAAACTGAAAACTGAACTTTTTTCTTTCATGGCTCTTCAGCAATGAACGAATGGAGCCCATCACCTAAGCTCTGCTTTGAACATGGTCTTGATTATCTGCCCACGTAGAACAGAACCAAATATCTGTTCCTATCCCGTCCTATCCGTGGAAGGAGGCTTCCTAAGGATTTTGCTGTAGCACCGTCTTTGGGACTTTGCACCGGAGCACGTGTACGGATCATGGACGACTGAAAATAAAAGCCACCGGGGGGCGGGGGGCGGGGGGCGAGGGGGGCACTTTACTTGAACATCTGGCTTCTTTCTATCGTGGCAAGCCAAAAGCTGTAAGCGTTTGCATAGTAATTGCAAGTCCCGCGGCCGTGGCACTCGATGAAGGGGGCGCTTCTGAACTCTTCCAGACAGGACCCAGGGGAGGCCAGGGCTTGGCCAGAACCTTCGGCTCCGGCGCTGGTGTGCTGCGGGGAAACAGGAGCCGTGAGCCAGAGGTGCCCGCCCACCCCGACAGGCTTCCCGGGCCCCAGGGAAGAGCCGGGATGCTCCCTCCCGGAAAGCCGCCCTCTCTGTCTCCCGAGGCCACCAGGGAACACACTGGCAGCCACACCACCCCATGGCCTCACGCCGGGCACACCCAGTGCCAGGAATCAGCCGACCGCTCCTCCTTGGGGGGGGAGGTGACTGGTCCAGCTTCACCAGCATTTCAACAAACGCTGTCCTCACTGTTTTCTTCTTGGAACACTGAAACCTCTTCTAACTTGGGGCGTGAGATGACAGCCAAAATGTGCGGAGGATGCTGGGACCAACTGATGTGACATCAGACTTTCTAAACAAAATTATACGGGATCATCAAAATCCTTTGTTCGCTACATTAGGTAGCAAAATCCTTTATTTGCTACATTATCCATTTTCTTTTCTTTAAGAAGAGAAAACTTAAACAAGAGAAAGGGAAAAGAAAGCTACTGTGGTAACTGTTTGTTCAGTTGGGTTAAAGCAGGCTCACCTGTCCTCAGAAACCAAGACGTAAAATGAATGACGTACAAACGGAAGATGTGGCAAAACCTTTACAGGACGGCTATTACGGACATAAGAAAAGTGAACTCTGGAATTTTAGAGCCATAAGGGACCTCTGAGGACAAAGCTAACGCCCTTGATTCCCAGATGAGGACCCCAGGATCCCAGAACATTCCAGATCACACTTCCCAGGCAAAGCTGAGATGGGAATAGGCCTCTGGAGGCTGCCAGATCCGAGCCCCTCAGCTTCACCACAAAGCCCCCAGGCTCAGCAGTGATGGGATGCCTGTTCTCCAGAACCTCATCATTTTGATTTGCTCTTGGTTTTGAGAAGTTATGGGCAATCGTTGTTCAGATCCTTGTATGACACCAGGACAAGGGACGGGGAAGTGACAGAGTGCTTTCCAACATTCTTTACTCCTTGGATCAAGGGCCTCTTCTGTCAAACTGAGACTCCGTCTAGTATTTCTTATGATAATGGAGTCGAAAGTCCAATCTGCCTTTGAGTCAAAGTTGTATGCTTACATCATTGCAAGTATCTTGATTTCTCTACACCATAGTTCTAACCTTTCTGGCTTTCTTGATAAAGTAGTCGCCAGGCAGTATTTAGAATGATCAAAACCACTTGCTAAATTTTGTTGTTGCAATTTTCTGGACCTGTTGAAGAGTCTAAATGCAGGATCTTTAACCTAGGAAATCCCAGCACGTCCGACTGCTGAGAACCCAGTACACACACAAGCACGTGAAGAACTTCTTTCCTGGCAAATTCTACACGGAATAACTTACAGCAGGAAAAAACAGTTAAGAGGCCACTTGCCCTGTCAATCAAATGACAAGGCTAATGTTGATTTGGGGGTCAAAGGTACGTACGACCTGGCCACACCTGGGAGTGTGAAGATGGGGCTGGGCTTACAGTGGTGACGTGGGAAATGTTTGTGGGGGATCGTTTACCGGGAGTGATTCAGGTGTAGCCTGATCGTCCAAGTTCAGAGCTTCTGTGTTTTCAATCAGTACTTGAAACTGAGGCAATAAAATAAGAAACTACAACGGGATCTCAAAAGGGTGCTGTGTTTCCTGTTCTAATTGGCTTTTGGGAGAAAGGGAGCATCGGCGGGTCTGGCATCTGGGGCAGCTGGGCGGTAGGAGAGCAGACTCACGCGGGAGGGGTGTGGACCCTCGGGCCCCTGACACCGGCCAGTGACCCCGCTCTCTTCCTGACTCTAGCTTCCGCTTCGGGGCTTGCAAGCGTTTTGGTAAACGTGTGCCCACCATGGGCGCACCCTCCTCTTCCCCCCGGGAGGCGCTGACTCGGAATCTCATCAGGTCTCCCAGCTACCTAGGCCCAGAACAGCCACTCCGTGGAAGAGGAGGGCTCTGAGCCAGAGCTGGACCCCCTGGCTGTCCCCTCCCAGGGGAGCAGGCCAGGCTCCTGGGGACGCTTTGCAGGGGGTCCCAGGAGCGAGGGAAAAGAGGTGGGGTGATTGTGGGCAGCTCTTTGGGGGAAACACGGAGTTTCCCCAAACACTTACCATCACAAAGGAGTAGCCAATCCAGAGCGAGGACCAGCCGCTGGGGCACTGCGGGATCTGGATGGTTTGGCTGTGCACAGCCATGACCATGGCCGGAGCCTCACACACAGCACACCTGGAAGGCACGGAGCAGAGAGGCTCAGCACAGCCGAGGGAGGCCTCCACCGGCTCGCCCCTTTCCCCATTATCTGCGCTCCGTCTCGCCACTCCATCTTTCTGACCCAGTGATGTGTTTTACCAAAGAGATCAGGTGTCCCCTGCTTGGACTCTGAGGCTTAGGGTCTTCTCACTGGTTTGATAAGCCTGCCTCAGTATTAAAACATTAAGCTGAAAACCAGACCCAACACTTGTCATTTAGCCATCTACTCTGTAGCAGGAAGGAAACTGGAAGGCCAGGTTGTAATAGGGACCATCTCCTGAGGCGCTGGGGCTGCAGGAGACTTTCGTGTTCTGCTTTGTGTATTTCAGTGTCTTCCAGTGTTTCAGCAATGAGTGTGGATTTCAGCAAACACGAAAAAGGAGATGGTGCAAAGGAGATGGTGCAAATCCAAGGGCTACCGCTTGCGGAACACGGTGATTTGTTTTAAGCCCTGAATCATCTTCCATGTGAGAAGAACATTTAGTGAATTATAGTAACTAAGACAGATAACAAACCCAGGGCTGGCTGTCCACGTGAGCCTCTTCCGGAGACTCTCTCCAGACCTGGAACCAACAGACCAGTGAGGGGACTCTGCCCCAGGCCGGACTGGACGCTCCCCAAGCCAGGCTGGCTCGTGCTCAGCCGCTGGGACTGCACCCAAGAATAAATGACAGCAACACACAATGTTCTGACTCAGACCTGCTCTACTAAGCGACCCTTTGATGGTGGGATAACGTTTTGTTGAAAAAAAGAAATTTAAACATCGGCAGTACAATAATTATATTCAAGTCACAAACTGAACAGAGTGCTAACAATGCTGTTAAATGACTATAAATGGTGTTAATAATTACACCTAGTTATGCTGGAACATTTGCATGAAAATGGATTAGGAGTGTGAAGGGGGCCGAAATGAGTCATTTGGTTTCCCGTGTGTGTGTGTGTGTGTGTGTGTGTGTGTGTGTGCGCGCGCGCGCACGCGCACACACACGCGCACGCTATTTTCTATTTTATTTGCACAAATGCAGATGAATTAAAGGGCTCAGCTAAACAACAGTGACTGAAATTGGCCTTCTACATCTGCCACCATCTGCCTGCCAGACACAGGAGCAGACATATAGCACAGAGGAAAGCGCTTCATGTCAGGCTCTCTCTGGGCTGGCGGATTCAAGCCGCTGCAGAGACGTGGTCTGGACCCCGTCCGACGGGTGCTAGGGGACAGAAAATCACAGATTTAACGAGCCACGAGGTCCCTTAAAATCCATACACTCTCATTCCCCATATTACCTATGAGAATATGAGGCCACAGTTAGTTGTGTCAAAAGGCAGAATTAGAACACAGTTCCTACTCTCATATCAGTGGTCTTCAAATCTAGAACAATTAAACAGTCCGTAGTTTTTGATGATTCGTGTCCGCAGAGAGTCGGAAAGTGCTTAGAAAATTTTGTCAGGATGACAGCAGAAAAGTTGGTACTTTTTCTGCTTAAGAGGAAGGATTTTGTCATTAACTCTTTCTAAAATTAAGCTTTAGGATGTCCCCAAAAGGGAGACCTCAGAAGGAACCTGTGAGTCCTGAGAAGTCGTCAGAAACCACTAAGTTAAAGTAACTGTGGGACCTGGGCGCTCAGAGACCCAGAGGAATGGGCAGCATTATTACAAAAGGGGATGTGAGATGTGTGTGCTTTCGGAGCAGTGACTTAAAGGATGTGACTTCTGAGGTCACATCAGACACCGTGCATCTGTGGGTCAGTTAACAGGGAGACGTGAAAACCCCAAAATGGGCAGCGCTGGGGCGTTTAAACAACTCACGGTAACGGGTCCACAGAGAAAAGCAAGTCTCAGACTTGAGGCTTCTCCTGGACCTGTTTCTGGAATGTCCTAAACACATCCCAGAGCCCTGTGTCCCAACCAAATCAAGGTCAATGTCAATTTTATCAAGATGGTAAATAGGAGACAAAAACGAATAATCATTTTCTACCTGTTGTCCAAGGAAAGCTAAACAGAAACACAAAGGTGGTTAGTGGTTAGTTCCTGCTCTTGTGCAGCCAGCATGGTTCTGAGCGAGAGAAGGCAGCACAGATCAGCCCACAGGGATCCCGACACACGGGAAGGACATCTGCGTTTTGAGAGGTGCCTCTCTGGAACTTACCAATGACCTTTCCTATTTTAAGACCCATGAGATAAGTTTTCTTACAGCTCAAAAGAAAAATCTTAGAAAGCTGTCAGGAGATATTTTGAGGTAAAGCCATCAAAAACCTGATTTTTGGGGCTTCCCTGGTGGCGCAGTGGTTGCGAGTCCGCCTGCCGATGCAGGGGACACGGGTTCGTGCCCCAGTCCGGGAAGATCCCACATGCCACAGAGCAGCTAAGCCCGTGAGCCATGGCCGCTGAGCCTGCGCGTCCAGAGCCTGTGCTCCGCAACGGGAGAGGCCACAACAGTGAGAGGCCCGCGTACCACAAAACAAAAAAACAAAAAAACAAAAATATCACCTCAAGAGTGCAAAAACTGGTGGGGTGGAAGAGAATGAGAAAAATCTTAGGATGTACACATGTTAATGTGCACGATACATCAGTATCATCTTTTATATATAAAGCACAGACATACAGTATGTCCACGGTGTCATCATTTCCTGGGGACCGCCTTACACGCACAGTTAAGTGCCACTGAACTGTACACTGAAAAATGGTTAACACGGTAAATTTTATGCTATGTGTTATGTCAGTTTATGTTATAGTTTTACTACAATTAAAAAATAAAAATCTTTTAAAAGTTTCTTGGGGGTGATTCCAAAAAGTATATCTTAAAAGACTCCTTAGGGAGATAATTATTTAAGAAAGAAAAGAGCTGCAAAGCCGTTCTAAAGTTTGCCGGGGACTCCAGCGACACTGCTGGTTCATGGCAGGGAAGGCAGCCACCCGGTGAGTCACACAAGATAACACGTCTTGTTCCAAAGCCGGGCCTTATCTCACCGAGGGTTTGCACTAAAATTTTTTAAGAAGATAACCGACTTTTACATCCAATTATTTGTATGACTGATTTCTGTTACAAAACTCAGGTATCATAACTAGTAAACGGAATGGCAATAGATCTGTTTGGGGGAAAATGGAAAAACACAAAAATAATCTCTGCCCTGGCTGTGAGCTGCTTTTCTTCGTCAATTATATGTGTGCTCCGATGGGCTGGACTCACCTGCTGATGAAGGGCCTGATGCCCTCCCCGGTGATGGGCGCCATGGACATGGGCATAGGCTCCGGGGTGGACAGCCAGTACGAGTAATCATTTCGGGAGGCAAAGTTGCAGACGTTGTTGATGTTACAGAAGAGGAAGGGCATTGTGCTAAACTTGCGCAGACAGCTGCCCGCCGTGCCTGGGGACGCAGGGAGAAGACGTTGCTTACCGTTCGCAGTCAGTCTGCCTCGACACAGAATGCAAGGGAGCTAGCCAATAAAGACATCTATCCGACCCATCCGCTAAGGTGGCCATAAAAATGCTTGCCAATTACAGAAAGAAGGAAATAAATGTACCAAACAGACCAGTATGATTGGAAATGAGCATTACATTCAATGGAAAGTGATCCAGGCCAAAGGGAAACCATCAAGAATTAGCAGGATGAACAGAAACAAAGCAGTTCATCGGTAGAGAGAGACCTTTTCCTGCAACTGAATTCTAGAAGGAACTTGACGTGCAGCTCCTTGTACCACAGCTAGCAACTCACTGGACCGTGTCTTTCACGAAATGCAGAGCCGTCTTTATATATGTCTGCAACCTCAGTGAAAGTTAGAGGTGTATAACATTAAAACATAATTTGGTGGAGCAGATCCGGAGAGGACTAAGAGAATGACGACAAACACACAGCCCTCTATCGATCTAAACTGATAGAAGGACAGAGGAACTGTGGACACAGGATAACGTGGGCATTTTTTAAAACAGCCACAGTAAAGCTGCTCTATTTTATGACTATGAATGCAAACTGTTAAGTGTGCATCCAGACACCTTGATCCTACTTGATAATTGGAAGAAGAGGCCAAAAGTTTTATTAATTTAAAATTTTCAAAGAGTCGCAGCCTTTATGTCTGCCTGGCTTCCCATTAGTAATATGGGGGCTGTCGGTAAGGACGGCCCACTTGGAAAGGATGGAGGGAAACAGGACTCTCTTCCTTGGCTAGGTCTCGGTGACACTCCGAAACGCAGGAGCAGAGCGGGAACACAGCCCGGCACCACCCGGCGCTGGACACGCGACGTGGAATGAACACACCCGTCTGTAGATGCCTCACCCAAGTCCTGGCCGTGCGCCCGCTCATTGCCTTGTACGTAGAGCAGAGAGTACCCGTGGTACAGGATTTTGGTCCCAGGAGGACACTGGGGGTCGTCTGTTGTCTGACTGTGCCTGGTCACGAGGAAGCCGTGATCCACAGACGGGGTGCCTGGGGGACCCATGGATCCCGGCAACCCATCAGGGCCGGGTGGACCCGGGAAGCCTCTTGGACCTGAAAGACAGCAGAGAAATACGCTTCCTCAGTTACAAACAGGCGAGACTCAGTACAACCACCACCTCCCTCGTGCCACCTCAGCTTCTCTCTGCATCCCACCTGGAGACGTTTCATACGCGTGGTGCTTGGTGCAACGCAGAAGCTCATAAACTCAGTCCAATGAATAAATGAAATATGTGAAAATATAAATATATGAATAAAGGAAGTAAATGACATGACTCCACGCATGTATTCATACAGCATTTGGGAGCTCCTCTGAGGGAGGATTATTATAGGACGATTAAAACGACCATCTTTTAACGTAGCTTCCCAGCCTTAGTGGCCCAAAGCCAGCGTATGGAATCAAGGGTGGAAGGAAGCTCCCGTGCAGGGTGTCCTCCTGTCCCCTGGGCGACCACGCTGCTTGCAAGATGTTCACAGGCCTCCTGCTGGGCTGGGCCCTCTGTCTACTCAGTTGCACCCTCAGCCTTTGGCATCCCAGCCACGATGGGACCTCTGAGGTCCTGCTTCTTGGGAGGCAGGTCAACTTTAGTCCATGCCAGTCAGTGGCCTTCTGGCCAACACGGCACAATCATCTGCTCCCCTTGCCCTTTGCTGAAATGGAATGTCTGAGCTGCAGACTCTTAGAAAACCAGATAGGGCCGTCCCTAATGGCCTTCTTTCAATAACGTCTGGGAGGCACTGAGCTTTGATAAACATGTCTCCCCACACAGAAAAGAAGGATGGCAACCCTTAGCTCCTCTGTAAGATCCTGTTTCTCCTAAGAAACAAACTTCTATGGAAATCTTTCAAGAAACACTTCCTTTTGCAGGCTTCCATATGCCTGCGCCTAAGGCTTCTAACCCGAAGATGCAGATCGAGGGTAGTGAGGTTGGGACAGCACAGCAAACCTACCAGGAGGTCCAAAGGGTCCTGTCTCTCCTTTCTGGCCAGGGGCCCCATCAAACCCGGGAATACCTGGTGGCCCAGGTAAGCCCACAGATCCTGTCACACCTAAAGAGAGGAGAAAGAATTCATGATCCGGTTGTGGAAAGCAATAAATAGGCCGTATCTGTTTCTTCCCTTTTGAAATGTCTTCTTTGGCCCCCTGAGAGGGAAGCACAGGGCCTCGGACTACAGGTGGGAAAGCTTTCCCAGAAAGCCAGAAGGTTAACACACACTCTGCAGACTGACACCCACACGGGGGGCGCCTCATCTCGGAATTCGGGGTTCTCCCCGGCTTCTTGCTGTTGTTCTTGTTATTGTTTGGCACACAGTTTGGGGAAAGGCAGTCACGTCGGGGTAGGGAGACATCTGATGCATTTTCATTTTCTCAGGTGTTTCCCCCCTCTCGGCCACGTTCCGGTGTCTCAGATAATGTTTAGGCACCGGGTTTATTGACGTGGGTAGTTTTTTTGTTTTCATGTGTATGGTTTATTCCTAAGCGGTTAAAACAAATTTTCATGGTTGCTACCTTTCTACTCTAAACGTTTTAATTATTCTTTATCTTCCATCTCCACTCCTCAGCAATAGCTTTTGAAGTAAGGAGTGTTTAGCCCCGATAATCAGAAAGATTCTAGCTTAAGGTGTCCGGGAACCACAGGGATTTGCACAGATCTTGGCCACTTGGGTAGAGCTTTTGGGCCGCCGTGGAGAACACCCATCCCTACAATTCTGGATTGCTACTTGCTGCACTCCCCTATCTCCTGGCCGGGAGAGATGCTTTTCCCATTCCTTTGCCCATGTTTTTCTAAGTGAACATAGACGTATTGAGTTGTGTGCTGCCCTAGCTTTTCTTGGACTTCTTTTTCTGACCTTGTTAGGCCTCTTCAGAAACTTCACGTGGTTTTGACATACACTGAAGGAAGGTAAGAAAGTCATCTTCAAATACGTGTTCACACAGTCACTGCCCAGAGGCTGTTGTGAGACATGCGGGTGAAGAGGAAACGCCGCCCGGGTCAGCTCCCTCCCGCCTCCACAGCCCTCTGCACAGCGCGGTTATTCCTACCTTGTTGTCCTTTAGGGCCTGGAGGTCCCTGAAGCCCTTTCAGACCTGCGGGACCCTCAGGACCAGGGAGCCCTGGTTCCCCTTTGATGATGTCGTATGGACCCGGGGGGCCCGGGGGACCAGGAAGACCTGTGGGAATCAGGGCAGCCACTGGTCAATTTCACTGTCCACATTCAGGGCAGAAACAGCTTCTGACATGAAACCCAATCAAACACAGTGCTTCTCAAAAGGAGAATCACGATCAGAAACACAAGGGACCAGATCCTCACGACGAGACACACGGGCATCTGCGCGTCTCTATTATCTATAACCTAAAATCCTGAATCCTCGGGACTGGAACAGACCTCGGACATTTGACCAGTCCACTCAGATCTGGAGGCCCTGATGGACCCCTGACCCAAGGGGAAGCTCATCTCCCTCAAGGAACCACCCCTCACGTGGGGAGCTCCAACAGGTGAAATTAGGACTTTTTTCTCGTATGTATCCGAGATCTGCCTTACTGCACACCAGAACCACTGGTCTTAATCTTTCAGTGCTGAGTAAACGTAAACCTCCTTCTGAGTAAACGTAAGCCTCCTTCGGGGTCCTAAAGTACACGGAGCAGCCACGTGAAGCTGGGGGCCTCGGGTCTGCCGCAGCCACCCTTTCCTCCGTGTGCTCGCTCCTCCCATGTTTCCCCATTTCTTTTCTCCCCGAACAATCCACTTCTCAGTGCATTCTGGTTGCTCACTCCCTCTCTTGAAACACGGTCTTGAAAACTAAACGCAGCCCTCGATATAAGCTCTGACCCGCAGAGACCAGGATGGGATGCAGACTCCCTCAGACCACTTCCTTCTAAGAACAGCTGTGTCTCTGGAGCCACTCGGCACGTCTGGTTCCCCGTGGAGAAGCCAAGGCAGCCCCTTTCTTAGAAAGAACTCCATACTGTCCAGCCACAGTTTGTTCAGCCTGCAAGACGGATTTCGTTCCTGATTTTTACGCCTGATTTCCGTCTGCCCTCAGAGCCTGTGAGATTTTGTCTCTCACCCCTTTCCACTGGATTTATCTCAGGCACAGATTTAACAAACTTGACTTTCAGGACAAGTCATTGGTAAAAATGTCAACTAGATTAGCCAAATATAGGAACCCTGCCAAGTGGCCAAAGAATTTTCAACTGCTGTTTTCTAATGACCAAATTCTCTTACCTTTAGTTCCAGGGAAACCTTGGTCTCCTTGGTCACCTTTAACTCCCTGAAGGCCAGGGAGGCCTTTCTGCCCTGGAGGAAAGAAAAACACTGTCTTTGCACAGAATTCCAAACGATAACCGTGTGTGTGTGAATACACACAGTATATACATATATGCACATACATGTACACATATGCTGATGTGTACACATACACACCTACATACACATACACGTATAATACACGCATACACACACAGTGAACACATTTCCAATTTATGCACGTGGAAGAAAAGAACATTACTTGTAGTCAGCTATGTAAAACTTTTGATGAAACTCTTCTTTCTAAAACCCAGAAGTGACATTTTTCCAAACATGCAGCAAAAACCATAAAATGGTCACAAACAGTGGAAGGGCACGTGATTCTGTTTTTGGTCACGATCTGGTTCACACGTGTCCCCAGCTAGACCACAAGATGCCTGCAAGCTGAGAACTTGTTGTATTCACCTTTCATTCATATGTACCTGATGCTGCAGTAAAAAAAAATCAAAGTGCCTGGAAGCTGGTAGGCACCCAATAAATATTTGCTTCAAACATTAAAAAATTAATGAATGGCCCAAATCCATGACTTCTCATTGAGATGCAAATGATCCACTGATTTTTAGTAAGAAAATCAGAATGTCTTTATACTGCTGTGCATGGGATTCTACAAACGGGGAAGCCACCCAGAAATGGCATTTTAATTCGAAGAGAACAGGATCTTGTACTGCAATGCTAGGTCTATCAACAGGAAAGCACCAGGGGCTGGGGCTCTGGTGGCAGGCAAATGTGTCTTCAAGCGGCATCTCCCTTATGTCTTACCTTGAAACCCTGGAACTCCTGGAGGTCCCATATCACCCTTAGCACCTGTAGCTCCTGGAGAGCCACCGACCCCCTAGACACACAAAGAGAACGTCAGTCGGGAACGGCTCAGGAGACATAGGTCCCTCAAGCAACTGGTAGTCAGGAAGTTGGGAACAGCCCCTCCATGTTCTCAAGTAGCTCTGTGAACAAATGTTGCCTTGTGGTTGCTTGAAGATGTAAAAAGAATGACAAAACCTGTGTGTGTGCCTAAATTAGGGAGCTGGAAATTGCAGCAACTTGCTTCAGCCACTCTGTCCCTTCTGCTTCTCCGCCTGTGTGGTAAATTCCAGGAGCAGGTGTAAATCTTACATCCCACTGCCCCCACCCCATAGCACGATGCCATGAACAGAGTCGAAACTCCCTAAACATTTGTCATGGCTACATCTCAATCTATCAACACCAAAGAACCTTTCTGGATGACTTTACTCCCAACGCTCAACCACAGTGCTTTCTCTTTAAAATTAGCTTTGCATCTTGTCTTAAAAGTGCTTTTAAATATGGAAAAAAAACATAAAAAATACTAAAGAAGGATTATTTCCCTTTATAATGCAGTGATATTTTTGTATTTAAAAATTATTATCTTAATTTCTAGATATTTCAACATAGTTGTTCCTTTCTCAGTATATAAAAAGTTGTAATGTTTCTTTACTTTACCTTATTTTAAAAAGTGCCATAAGCAAAATTACATGCACAAATATATATCTATATATGTATACATATAATGCACATATGTATACATAGAGATAGACAGACACTGAATGGCACTAGGAATAGGGATATATTTCTATGTTACTGAGGCTTTCTTTTTGCATCATTTGTATATAGATTTTTAAACCCAGGCATTGAACTATAATCTCCAGTAGTATAACGTTTCACTTCTGATGGTTTGTGTAAAACTAGATTGTAAAAAATTTTGTAATAGTTGCCTACCATGATGCCAGTAAAGATGGCTGATTACTAGCCAGAGAGAAGGGGCTGATTCAGGGAGGATCTGGGAGTGTAACACACATGAATACACACAGACACACACAAGTATTATCTTATGACCCTTTTCAAAAACAAGACCTGCCAAGGGACAACTCACCGGCATGCCCTGGAATCCTGGGTCTCCCTTGGGCCCTGGAGCCCCAGGAGTGCCCGGCCAGCCTGGGTTTCCCTTGTCACCTTTCAGCCCATCAAGCCCAGGGAGCCCTGGAGGCCCCATGGGTCCCGGAAGCCCTAATGGGAGACACAGAAGTCCCACGTTTGAGGTCAGAGGGTGGTTTTATGTGTAAGTGTCACTGGGCTGTGGTCGTCACCACTGCCACCCAACTGTCCCCCACTGTATACAACAACATCATATTAAGCAGCATGGGCCCTGAAGACATCCAGGCAGGTCCTAGAAGGAAGAATCTCCTCGACAGGCAGTAAACGTCGATATAAACACCACAGTCTCAGAGTCAAGTGCCCTGTGGTCTCTGTGCTCAGGGGTGGCCGCGCCGTAGGGCAGCCACCTGTTCATGGGGGAACAGGTGTGACAGAAGGTCGTGCTGGTTTTAAACAACCAGCCACACATGGCATTTGTGCTCCAGTCCTTTTCAGTAATGGCCCTTCTCCCCCTCCCTCATTGCTTGTTCCTTGAAAGAAAGAGCACGAGAAAAGCACTGACCCAGTGGAGGCCTAGGTAAAAGGGGCCCAACGTCTTAAGCAGTTTCAATGGTAATAAATGTTGCAAACTTCTAAATAAAAAGCTCATTTGAGAATTTAATTATTCCAATTTCTTTGATACTTGTGTATGTTTGTGCCTCTGTTTCAGTCCCAGCTCTGAACCTAGTGATACACACTTACCTGGCAGGCCAGGTTGTCCCTGTGGGCCCCGGTCTCCTTTGCGCCCCTCCACCGCGTGGCCCGGAGTGCCTGGCAATCCCGGCTGTCCCTGCGGCCCCGGAGGACCCATGAATCCTTGTTCTCCTTTGGATCCAGGAATTCCCGGGCTCCCAGCTAAGCCTGGGAAACCCACGTCGCCCTTTGAACCTAAACAGTATAAAGACAGGTTGAGGTCACGGTGAAATGCAGGGAAGAAGAGAAATCCAGTGCACCAAGGGGGAGGGAGGGGCTTCCAGAAGGACCCAGGAGGAAACCGGAGCTGGTGCCCTTCTCCCTCCTTTTTATTAAATAACGTGCCAGACACCCGCCATGGCCCACCTGAGGAAGAGAAAGCTTAGGGTACAAAGAAACTGTAACCATTCTTTACACTTTTTAAAGGTGGTGTTCTATGGCAGAGGCACTTGAATATATGTGTAGACAAGCCTGCAAGGTATGGCACTGCTGAAATTCAGGGCTTGTTCACCAACAGGTGAAGGAATAAACAAACTGTGTTACAGCTACACCATGGAACACGACTCAGCAAGAAAAAGGAATAAACTATTGACACAACGAACAGCACAGGTGACTCAAATTCATTATGCTGAGCGAATGAAGTCAGGCGAAAACGTACACGCTGTAGGATTCCGTGAATGTAGAACTCTAGAAAATACAAGTTAATCTACAGTGCCAGAAAGCAGACCAATGGTTGCTTGGGGTGCAGGTCGGGGGGGGGGG